CCTCACAAGGAAAACTTATTAATAAACATAATAAAATGGTGTTTTTAAAAAAAAAGTAAGGTGCAGTAAGTTGTGTGTGATGGGTACTCTGCCATCACACCTTTTTCAGTAAGGGACAATATCTGCCCCCTTAAATTGATTTTAAATCGCCTAAGCGATAAAATTCTGTATTATAAATTTTAAGGCCAGACAAGTACCGTAAAACTTCAAATAGTAGCCCGGGCTTTTATTTTCCCAAATCGTCGAATTGCACCGGCTTGTATTTGAGACAGGCGTCTATATGAGACAGGCCTTTATAATTTCGTGTTGAGATGTTGTTCATTGAGTGTATAGGCCTGTCTCTAATCTCTAGAAATCTCCAAATGCTCCACGTGAAACTGCGGTCTTCCGACCTTTTACTATCGCGTCAATTGATTTTGATTAATATGCGCGAGGGAGAGAGAGTAAGACAGCGCTCGTGTTGTTTGAAGACGGGAGAGTGCGCGTGCGCGGCTGGGGTGCTCTCTCTCTCTCTTCATTATGCGCCCTGTCAAGCGCAGCAGTCAATTCTACATCACTCGCCGATCAAAAAAGGCTTTGGCGGGACACACATTTGCTTTGGCGGCCGCCAAAAAGCGGACGATCTGACGGGTTTTAGAAGATTAAATACAACCCGAAACTAAAAAACAGACCCGGCCTCTATTTGAGACCGGCCTTTATTTACCCAAACCTGCAGCCACACCAGGCGTGTAAAAGAGACAGGCGTCTATTTGGGACTCGGCTATTATTTGAAGTTTTACGGTAGTTTGTTGAGTGTTGGTTTTTTAGGGAAGGACTCCACGCCGGCGCACATATATTCACACGCGCATCCCTATAGAATGAACTCTTAATAACGCATGTGCGCCATCAGCGTTCTCACAGGCTCGCGTTTATAAAGTTTGCGTAGAGAGAACTGAAGAGTTTTCTGTTAGAGCGGTGTCGTGTTAGCGGCGCCTAAGTTAATAACTAATGATCTTTGCAACGGAAGAGAATCAATCAAAACTAACTTTAGCTGGACAATAACTTTATTCTAGAGCTGCTGTAAAGCCTAAACAATCTCTGTTACTGTAATCTCCTGTTATCACTGTAAAGCTGCTTTGAAACAGTCTACATTGTTAAAAGCGCTATATAAATGAAGAAGATGAGAAGATGAACTGTTGTATAAAATCAATGTCACATTTGCAATGGAGTGGATATTCGTATAATGTGATCAACATTAAACAGGAACTCACACAGGGTGTTTTTGTTTCCAAGAGTTTGAATCTCTATGCACAGTCTGTCTAAATTTTAACTGGTGATGTGTGACATGTGTGAGTGTGTGTGTGTGAGAGTGTGTGAGAGTAAATGTGTGTGAGTTTGAGTGTGTCGTGTGTGTGTACCCAGTGAGTCGTTGTGCTTGAGCACGTAGTGCGTCTCGTCTCTGAGGTTGATGATGGTGATGAAGGGCCGGCCGCTGTGATTGGTCGCTCCGAGTCTCTGTGCCAGTGTCCAGTGCAGTGCGGCGTCCAGCACGTAGAAGCGCAGCGTCTTGTTGGTTCGGCACTGAAGGCCGGTGACGGAGCCAGTGACGGAGCCGGTGACGGGCCTCGGGACGCTCCTGCAACACACACTGATCTGACTGTACGGACTGTACGAGCCCTGGACGCTCCTGCAGGGGGCGCTGGAGAGCTGGACGTGCTCCACACACACACCCAGAGCCCAGCAGTGAGAGACACACAGCTCACACACACTCGCTTCAGCGGCGGGCGCCAGCAGGGACCGACAGCAGCGCGGGACAGAAGACACACCGCCCTCGGAGCCGCAGGAGTGATAACGCCACGCCACATCAGTCACCTGACACACACAGAACACACCGGTCACGAGATCCACACACACTAACACTTCACTGACACACATCTGCTAGAACAATCACATAAACACTGATAAAGCAGATAAAGTTCGAGTTGAGTTCATGTTTTAGTTTTCTTTAGGTTTTGGCTTCATCTGACGCATATAATTATTCAGAAGCATCTAGATCAGTAGTTCCGGGATAAATCTGTCCACCGGTGGAGATTTGGGACTATCGTCTCTATCGCAGTGAAGTTCCCGGACAGGACACAAGCAATGAAGCCGCTGGAAAGGCGGATGGAAAGCAAATACCATACAGGAGTTGTGAACCGTCAAAGCATGAAGTTCACTAAGAGCCGATAGTAAAGCCGTCTTCAGTGAAAGTACCCCTGTGGTGAGAATCCAGTTTTTAATGTTGTTTATGTGTCTCTGTGGTGTTTAATACGCTTTAAGACACACCATGTGTAAGTTCATAAGTCGACAGCATTGCTGAGTATTTCCTCCTTAAAACTGCAGTGAACCAAAGACAGTCTCAAAAACACGGTTTGAAATCGCTGGTGTTTCTGACGTCACAAACGACCTTGTAACCAATCAGATCAACGTGTGATCGTCAACCAGTGGATCTCTGAGCCGAGGGAGTGAGTGGAGGCGCAATTTTTGTATCCATAATTTCCTGATCTTTAAGAAAATACACATATTTTATAAAAACATTGTTAAATTATAAAACCGATAAACCAATCAAACCTGAAAAACGTTTGTCATGGCGTTAGTGTTTGCGGAGTGTACCTGGTGGAGCAGCTGATTGGCTGAGAGGGGATTGTGTGGGAGGAAGGTGAGGAGGGCGGGGCCTTTCTGTAGCTCCGCCTCCAGCGAGTAACTCTTGGCTCCCGTTGGCTGAATCCAGTGGACGACGCTCTCTCTGTTCTCAAACACCCAATCACAGACGGCCTGAGCGGTGAAGTTCCTCTGCGCTCGCGGGAACACCTGCGTTCAGAAACATGTATTTCACTGAGTGTGTCATCAGAACGAGTGTGTGTGATCATGAACTCACCAGCGAGCTGTTCAAACGCCGGTGTAAATACACACTTTCATCCTCTCTGAGTGACACGCCCTCTGCCACCGCCTGATTGGTCACCACAGCGAAGCGCACCGCCCCCTGATGATCTGGCCAATGTGAAGGCAGCGTGTCAGAGCATGTGTGTGTGTGTGTGTGATGTGTGTGTGTGTGTGATGGCGACAGTACCTCGTCTGAGCGCGTGCAGAGCTGAGAACAAGAAGCTGATGTAACCGGCCGGCTGAGGAGACGAGTTAAACTGGAAATAACCCACCACACCCTGCTGGAGCACACACACACAAACACACATCACACACCACACACACACAATAAGAAAGTATTAAAGAGTTTAGCTTATTATTAGTAATTTATAATTTATATTGTGTGTGTGAGGAAGGTGTGCAGGGCTCTGCTGGTGGGCAGGAGTGTGTGTGTGTGTGTGTGTGTGTGTGTGTGTGTGTGTGTGTGTGTGTGTGTGTGTACCTGCTGCTGTGTGAGGAAGGTGTGCAGGGCTCTGCTGGTGGGCAGGAGTGTGTGTGTGTGTGTGTGTGTGTGTGTGTGTGTGTGTGTGTGTGTGTGTGAGGAAGGTGTGCAGGGCTCTGCTGGTGGGCAGGAGTGTGTGTGTGTGTCTGTGTGTGTGTCTGTGTGTGTGTGTGTGTGTGTGTGTGTGTGTGTGTACCTGCTGCTGTGTGAGGAAGGTGTGCAGGGCTCTGCTGGTGGGCAGGAGTGTGTGTGTGTCTGTGTGTGTGTCTGTGTGTGTGTGTGTGTGTGTGTGTGTGTGTACCTGCTGCTGTGTGAGGAAGGTGTGCAGGGCTCTGCTGGTGGGCAGGAGTGTGTGTGTGTGTGTGTGTGTGTGTGTGTGTGTGTGTGTGTGTGTGTGTGTGTGTACCTGCTGCTGTGTGAGGAAGGTGTGCAGGGCTCTGCTGGTGGGCAGGAGTGTGTGTGTGTGTGTGTGTGTGTGTGTGTGTGTGTGTGTGTGTGTGTGTGTGTGTGTGTGTGTGTGTGTGTGTGAGGAAGGTGTGCAGGGCTCTGCTGGTGGGCAGGAGTGTGTGTGTGTGTGTGTGTGTGTGTGTACCTGCTGCTGTGTGAGGAAGGTGTGCAGGGCTCTGCTGGTGGGCAGGAGTGTGTGTGTGTGTGTGTGTGTGTGTGTACCTGCTGCTGTGTGAGGAAGGTGTGCAGGGCTCTGCTGGTGGGCAGGAGTGTGTGTGTGTGTGTGTGTGTGTGTGTGTGTGTGTGTGTGTACCTGCTGCTGTGTGAGGAAGGTGTGCAGGGCTCTGCTGGTGGGCAGGAGTGTGTGTGTACCTGCTGGTGTGTGAGGAAGGTGTGCAGGGCTCTGCTGGTGGGCAGGAGTGTGTGTGTGTGTGTGTGTGTGTGTGTACCTGCTGGTGTGTGAGGAAGGTGTGCAGGGCTCTGCTGGTGGGCAGGAGTGTGTGTGTGTGTGTGTGTGTGTGTGTGTGTGTGTGTGTGTGTGTGTGTACCTGCTGGTGTGTGAGGAAGGTGTGCAGGGCTCTGCTGGTGGGCAGGAGTGTGTGTGTGTGTGTGTGTGTGTGTGTACCTGCTGGTGTGTGAGGAAGGTGTGCAGGGCTCTGCTGGTGGGCAGGAGTGTGTGTGTGTGTGTGTGTGTGTGTGTGTGTACCTGCTGGTGTGTGAGGAAGGTGTGCAGGGCTCTGCTGGTGGGCAGGAGTGTGTGTGTGTGTGTGTACCTGCTGGTGTGTGAGGAAGGTGTGCAGGGCTCTGCTGGTGGGCAGGAGTGTGTGTGTGTGTGTGTACCTGCTGGTGTGTGAGGAAGGTGTGCAGGGCTCTGCTGGTGGGCAGGTATGTTAGTGGAGTAGAAACCCTCAGAATGAAGCTCTCCAGATACTCAGACTGAACCGGACCTCTGTACTCGATCGGACCGAACCTGCACACACACACACACACACACACACACACACACACACACGGTCATTATGTGTGTTTATGATGCTGAACACATGCTCACGTCACTGTAAGTGTGTGTTTACCTCCAGTAGTAGAGATGAATGACTGGATACTGGAAGAAGCTCTTCTGCTTCCTGCATTTGCCCTGATGCCACCAGCAGTTCACAGCGACAAACTGCACCTGCACACACAGGACACGCATCATCACACACAGGACACGCATCATCACACACAGGACACGCGTCATCACACACAGGACACGCGTCATCACACACAGGACACACGCATCATCACACACAGGACACACGCATCATCACACACAGGACACGCGTCATCACACACAGGACACGCATCATCACACACAGGACACGCGTCATCACACACAGGACACGCGTCATCACACACAGGACACGCATCATCACACACAGGACACGCGTCATCACACACAGGACACACGCATCATCACACACAGGACACGCGTCATCACACACAGGACACGCATCATCACACACAGGACACGCGTCATCACACACAGGACACGCGTCATCACACACAGGACACGCATCATCACACACAGGACACGCGTCATCACACACAGGACACACGCATCATCACACACAGGACACGCATCATCACACACAGGACACACATCATCACACACAGGACACGCATCATCACACACAGGACACGCGTCATCACACACAGGACACGCGTCATCACACACAGGACACGCATCATCACACACAGGACACGCGTCATCACACACAGGACACGCATCATCACACACAGGACACACGTCATCACACACAGGACACGCGTCATCACACACAGGACACACGTCATCACACACAGGACACGCGTCATCACACACAGGACACGCATCATCACACACAGGACACACGTCATCACACACAGGACACGCGTCATCACACACAGGACACACGTCATCACACACAGGACACGCATCATCACACACAGGACACACGTCATCACACACAGGACACGCGTCATCACACACAGGACACGCGTCATCACACACAGGACACGCATCATCACACACAGGACACGCATCATCACACACAGGACACGCGTCATCACACACAGGACACACGCATCATCACACACAGGACACACGTCATCACACACAGGACACGCATCATCACACACAGGACACACGTCATCACACACAGGACACGCATCATCACACACAGGACACACGTCATCACACACAGGACACGCGTCATCACACACAGGACACGCGTCATCACACACAGGACACGCATCATCACACACAGGACACGCATCATCACACACAGGACACGCGTCATCACACACAGGACACACGCATCATCACACACAGGACACACGCATCATCACACACAGGACACACGCATCATCACACACAGGACACGCGTCATCACACACAGGACACACGTCATCACACACAGGACACGCATCATCACACACAGGACACGCGTCATCACACACAGGACACGCGTCATCACACACAGGACACGCATCATCACACACAGGACACGCGTCATCACACACAGGACACGCATCATCACACACAGGACACGCATCATCACACACAGGACACGCGTCATCACACACAGGACACACGCATCATCACACACAGGACACACGCATCATCACACACAGGACACACGCATCATCACACACAGGACACGCGTCATCACACACAGGACACGCGTCATCACACACAGGACACACGCATCATCACACACAGGACACACGCATCATCACACACAGGACACGCGTCATCACACACAGGACACGCGTCATCACACACAGGACACGCATCATCACACACAGGACACGCATCATCACACACAGGACACGCATCATCACACACAGGACACGCGTCATCACACACAGGACACACGCATCATCACACACAGGACACGCATCATCACACACAGGACACGCGTCATCACACACAGGACACGCATCATCACACACAGGACACACGCATCATCACACACAGGACACGCGTCATCACACACAGGACACGCGTCATCACACACAGGACACGCGTCATCACACACAGGACACGCGTCATCACACACAGGACACACGCATCATCACACACAGGACACACGCATCATCACACACAGGACACGCGTCATCACACACAGGACACGCATCATCACACACAGGACACGCATCATCACACACAGGACACACGCATCATCACACACAGGACACGCGTCATCACACACAGGACACGCGTCATCACACACAGGACACGCGTCATCACACACAGGACACACGTCATCACACACAGGACACACGCATCATCACACACAGGACACACGCATCATCACACACAGGACACGCGTCATCACACACAGGACACGCATCATCACACACAGGACACGCATCATCACACACAGGACACGCACAGGACACGCATCATCACACACAGGACACGCATCATCACACACAGGACACACGCATCATCACACACAGGACACGCATCATCACACACAGGACACGCGTCATCACACACAGGACACGCATCATCACACACAGGACACGCATCATCACACACAGGACACACGCATCATCACACACAGGACACGCACAGGACACGCATCATCACACACAGGACACGCATCATCACACACAGGACACACGCGTCATCACACACAGGACACGCATCATCACACACAGGACACACGCATCATCACACACAGGACACACGCATCATCACACACAGGACACACGTCATCACACACAGGACACACGCATCATCACACACAGGACACACGCATCATCACACACAGGACACGCGTCATCACACACAGGACACGCATCATCACACACAGGACACGCATCATCACACACAGGACACGCACAGGACACGCATCATCACACACAGGACACGCATCATCACACACAGGACACGCATCATCACACACAGGACACACGTCATCACACACAGGACACGCATCATCACACACAGGACACGCGTCATCACACACAGGACACGCATCATCACACACAGGACACGCATCATCACACACAGGACACGCATCATCACACACAGGACACGCACAGGACACGCATCATCACACACAGGACACGCATCATCACACACAGGACACGCATCATCACACACAGGACACGCGTCATCACACACAGGACACGCGTCATCACACACAGGACACACGCATCATCACACACAGGACACGCATCATCACACACAGGACACGCATCATCACACACAGGACACGCATCATCACACACAGGACACGCATCATCACACACAGGACACACGTCATCACACACAGGACACGCATCATCACACACAGGACACGCATCATCACACACAGGACACGCGTCATCACACACAGGACACGCGTCATCACACACAGGACACGCGTCATCACACACAGGACACGCATCATCACACACAGGACACGCATCATCACACACAGGACACGCGTCATCACACACAGGACACGCGTCATCACACACAGGACACGCGTCATCACACACAGGACACGCGTCATCACACACAGGACACACGTCATCACACACAGGACACACGCGTCATCACACACAGGACACGCACAGGACACGCATCATCACACACAGGACACGCATCATCACACACAGGACACACGCATCATCACACACAGGACACACGTCATCACACACAGGACACACGTCATCACACACAGGACACACGCATCATCACACACAGGACACACGCATCATCACACACAGGACACACGCGTCATCACACACAGGACACGCACAGGACACGCATCATCACACACAGGACACGCATCATCACACACAGGACACACGCATCATCACACACAGGACACACGTCATCACACACAGGACACACGTCATCACACACAGGACACACGTCATCACACACAGGACACGCGTCATCACACACAGGACACGCGTCATCACACACAGGACACGCATCATCACACACAGGACACGCGTCATCACACACAGGACACACGCGTCATCACACACAGGACACACGCATCATCACACACAGGACACGCATCATCACACACAGGACACGCGTCATCACACACAGGACACGCATCATCACACACAGGACACGCGTCATCACACACAGGACACGCGTCATCACACACAGGACACACGCATCATCACACACAGGACACGCATCATCACACACAGGACACGCATCATCACACACAGGACACGCATCATCACACACAGGACACACGTCATCACACACAGGACACGCATCATCACACACAGGACACGCATCATCACACACAGGACACGCGTCATCACACACAGGACACGCGTCATCACACACAGGACACGCGTCATCACACACAGGACACGCGTCATCACACACAGGACACGCATCATCACACACAGGACACGCGTCATCACACACAGGACACGCGTCATCACACACAGGACACGCGTCATCACACACAGGACACGCGTCATCACACACAGGACACACGTCATCACACACAGGACACACGCATCATCACACACAGGACACGCGTCATCACACACAGGACACGCATCATCACACACAGGACACGCATCATCACACACAGGACACGCACAGGACACGCATCATCACACACAGGACACACGTCATCACACACAGGACACGCATCATCACACACAGGACACGCATCATCACACACAGGACACGCATCATCACACACAGGACACACGTCATCACACACAGGACACGCGTCATCACACACAGGACACGCATCATCACACAGGACACGCATCATCACACACAGGACACACGTCATCACACACAGGACACGCGTCATCACACACAGGACACACGTCATCACACACAGGACACACGTCATCACACACAGGACACGCATCATCACACACAGGACACGCATCATCACACACAGGACACACGCATCATCACACACAGGACACACGTCATCACACACAGGACACGCGTCATCACACACAGGACACGCGTCATCACACACAGGACACGCATCATCACACACAGGACACGCATCATCACACACAGGACACGCATCATCACACACAGGACACACGTCATCACACACAGGACACGCATCATCACACACAGGACACGCGTCATCACACACAGGACACGCGTCATCACACACAGGACACGCATCATCACACACAGGACAC